CCACATATGTTATGATTTGTGTTCAGGAAAGGAATAAGTAGGTCAGCTTTTTAAGTTGCTGTTCATCACACTGGACCGCCTGCTCAGTTATGTCAGAAACTATTGTGAGATCTCTGAGTTAGCCGTTTTGTACTATGTTGGTATTTGAACAATAAATTGTGAAAATACACCATTTTGATTAGAATAAAAGCTAAAGAATAGTCAATCTATTTAGCAATGCACTTCTATATTATTGTCTTTTTATTTAAATACTTGCTTTGATTTTAAAAAAATCTTTGCATTAGTAGATTTAATGATGTATTATACAGTGGGTACGGAAAGTATTCAGACCCCTTTAAATTTTTCACTCTTTGTTTCATTGCAGCCATTTGCTAAAATCAAAAAAGTTCATTTTATTTCTCATTAATGTACTCAGCACCCCATCTTAACAGAAAAAAACAGAAATGTAGAAATTTTTGCAAATTTATTAAAAAAGAAAAACTGAAATATCACATGGTCATAAGTATTCACACCCTTTGCTCAGTATTGAGTAGAAGCACCCTTTTGAGCTAGTACAGCCATGAGTCTTCTTGGGAATGATGCAACAAGTTTTTCACACCTGGATTTGGGGATCCTCTGCCATTCTTCCTTGCAGATCCTCTCCAGTTCCGTCAGGTTGGATGGTGAACAGCCATTTTCATTCTCTCCAGAGATGCTCAATTGGGTTTAGGTCAGGGCTCTGGCTGGGCCAGTCAAGAATGGTCAGAGTTGTTCCGAAGCCACTCCTTTGTTATTTTAGCTGTGTGCTTAGGGTCATTGTCTTGTTGGAAGGTGAACCTTCAGCCCAGTCTGAGGTCCAGAGCACTCTGGAAGAGGTTTTCTTCCAGGATATCTCTGTACTCGGCCGCATTCATCTTTCCTTCAATTGCAACCAGTCGTCCTGTCCCTGCAGCTGAAAAACACCCCCATAGCATGATGCTGCCACCACCATGTTTCACTGTTGGGATTGTATTGGGCAGGTGATGAGCAGTGCCTGGTTTTCTCCACACATACCGCTTAGAATTAACACCAAAAAGTTCAATCTTGGTCTCATCAGACCAGAGCATCTTATTTCTCATAGTCTGGGAGTCCTTCATGTGTTTTTTGGCAAACTCTATGCGGGCTTTCATATGTCTTGCACTGAGGAGAGGCTTCCGTCGGGCCACTCTGCCATAAAGCCTGACTGGTGGAGGGCTGCAGTGATAGTTGACTTTGTGGAACTTTCTCCCATCTCCCTACTGCATCTCTGGAGCTCAGCCACAGTGATCTTTGGGTTCTTCTTTACCTCTCTCACCAAGGCTCTTCTTCCACGATTGCTCAGTTTGGCTGGACGGCCAGGTCTAGAAAGAGTTCTGGTCGTCCCAAACTTCTTCCATTTTAGGATTATGGAGGCCACTGTGCTCTTAGGAACCTTGAGTGCTGCAGAAATTCTTTTGTAACCTTGGCCAGATCTGTGCCTTGCCACAATTCTGTCTCTGAGCTCCTTGGGCAGTTCCTTCGACCTCATGATTCTCATTTGCTCTGACATGCACTGTGAGCTGTAAGGTCTTATATAGACAGGTGTGTGCCTTTCCTAATCAAGTCCAATCAGTTTAATTAAACACAGCTGGACTCCAATGAAGGAGTAGAACCATCTCAAGGAGGATCAGAAGAAATGGACAGCATGTGAGTTAAATATGAGTGTCACAGCAAAGGGTCTGAATACTTATGACCATGTGATATTTCAGTTTTTCTTTTTTAATAAATTTGCAAAAATTTCTACATTTCTGTTTTTTTCTGTTAAGATGGGGTGCTGAGTGTACATTAATGAGAAATAAAATGAACTTTTTTGATTTTAGTAAATGGCTGCAATGAAACAAAGAGTGAAAAATTTAAAGGGGTCTGAATAATTTCCGTACCCACTGTAAGGTCCTGAGAGCTGGTGTTAGGAAGTTTAACAGATCATAATTCACTTTCTAATATCTATTTTATATTGCCGTGAAAACATCTCCTTCAAACAACTGCATTTATTTATTTGAAACATCATGATAACATAATTTACCTTTTGCCAATTTTTTTTTTTTTGTTTTACTGTGTAGAGCTTGAACGCACCATGCAAGACAACACAACCTTAACTTTAGCTCTTTGCAATCAGAAGATGAGCCGGTCAAAGCGATTACTCTGAACCACATGAATAGGAATGAATTACAATGCAACAGTCCGATTATGTGCACTGTTTCAACTGTTTACTTGTATCTGCTGGGGGTCCATGATGTTGACAGGGAGGTTGAAGGTGCCAAGCATTACATAGCTGTTAGCGTTGCGATCATGTGGAGGCACTTGTGATGTTCCCTGGGAGGACGAGGAGGGTCCACTATCGGCTGAAGTGCCTCCTGATCCTGAGCCAGGCTGGGAGGGCGGAGGGGGCGCCCGCTCCACAAGATGTATCACCTTGCCATCCACATCTGGGACAACAACAACAGAGAACTACGGTTACATTAGTACACATATGATGGTGTGTTGACGTCACACTTTGGTTTTGAGGAACAAAAGAAATTCTAGCTGTATTATACATTGCTGAACACCTCAAGATGAGCAATTACTTTTGCCAGAAATACTATATAAATACTAATGGACACAAGTGAGTTCAAAGCACTAATTAGTTTTAAATTAATTCTTGGAGGTCAAGCTGGTACTTGAGAGCAATCACAGCCATTAACTTCTCCCACAATAGTGGTGCACCGCAACAGTAAAACAACACAAAATGAACAAAGAATTCCTACAATATAAGCAACCCTTAAAGTAAATTCACACTTACTTACTCAATGTGTGTGGCCCAAATGTTAAGAATCAATGTGCACATAATATATAAATAAGAAAAACAGAACCTGCACAAGTATTATACCCAACAAAACTGGAAGGAGCTCAAAAACAAATCTTGAAACAAGATAAAAATCGAGTTCCGCATTGCTTTAATTAACCCAGTGATTACTTACTGTAGTCTGCCAGAGTCCTTTCATCCTGTAAGACTCTGCCCTGATAGATCAGCCTCTGTTTGTCCACAGGGATACCCACTGAAGGGGCAATGTGCTCCTTGAACTCTTTCACCGTCAACTACAAATAGGATGTAACAGACATGAGTCAGACTACCACAAAGGCTGAATGAAAATGAGAATTCACTCTAGAGTTTATAGAAGAAACTGAATGAGTTACCTGAGCACCAACTGTGTAAGTTCTACTTTGGGAGTCTAGTGTTTTCACTGTCACCTCTATGTCTGCAGTTTGTTCCTCCATGGTGTTCCTGTATCAAATAAATAAGAGGTTCCAGTAAGCCCGACTGATAATAAATTCTCAAGGGCTAATATCAATATTTGATTAGGATCCCTTGAATCTGTTTTTAAAGAATTGTGAACAAGACTAAGCAGGACATTTTATATCTGCAAAATAAACTTGTAACTTGGGGACAGACTATGTATGGGAGGCAATGTTTCTAAATGACCTCAAACATATCTTTGGCATATGGTAGACTTCTTGGTACTATCAGCTGCCATATACACTGATACGATATATCGGTAGTTAGCCAATATCGATCGATTATATAGGCTAAACTAACAAATTAGTACAATAGTCTGATGCAACGGTACAACCGACAGTAATTTCCATTCTCAATTAGTCTTTCATTTATTTCATTACCCGACTAATCAGTTCTAAACCCCTAAATATTCCCGTTACAAAGTATGTAGCGAAGAGAAGCAGCAGATACGAAAAATTGAGACTAGGAAATGTTTTGGATGCATTTTTGATTAATAGATTAATTAAACGTGATAACACTACCTGTTTACCAACATTTTAGACAATTTATTTTCAGTTGACGGATGGACCATTCAATTGACAAGATGTTTCAGCATTATTCCAATCAATTAATTTGTCTTGAACTCAGTACTGCTGCACACCTGCACCACGAGCTAGTGCTCAGAATTAATCCATTACTTGATTAGTTGAGCAACAGAAAAATATTCATCAACATTATTGTTTAGCCAGCTACTTAACCGTGAGGACTTGCCTCTCTTACATTATTTATATCATTGTAAATTAAATGATTTGGGGGTCTTTCGACTACACTTTGACAAAACAAACAGTTTGAAGACAACACCGTGGGCTCAAAACATTTTTATGGCCTTAACCAAGTTTCTCGATTAATAGAGGAAGTAATTGAGAGATTAATCAACAATAAAAACAATTGTTGCCTTAATCCCCTTGCAGCCATAAAAATGTCGGAATCACAAATAACATACAATCAAATACACACACACAATAGACTGAATATTTAAAATGTCGCTTCCGTACTATAGTTAATGATAACAAATATCATTAACCTATATCAGTGGCTGATCACGTAAAACTTGTTCCCAGTCATGTGTAAATTTAGCTAATTAATCCAAATCAGAGGTAATTCACAAGATATAAGTAGAGGCTGAGCAGCTAACGTTAGCTAAGCTCACTTGCTAGGTAACGTTAGCATCATAATGTTACAGTAGCTAACTATCAGCTCTGAGGATTGACGTTAGATAAGTTAACTGTATCCTGCTAGGCCAGTCGACGCACGGGTATTAGCACTAATTCAACCACTAAGAGTAATTACGGAAACCGTTAGCCAGCTATCGTTAGTTAGCATCGGCTTGCTAGCAGGATTTAGCTTAGCCTAAATTCGAAACGTTTGCAACAAAGCTAACTTTGACCGGCTAACTATGGCTAAGCTAAGCTAATGCTACATAAACTAAACGTTACATTACGCATATGTCAGAGACGATAAGCTATTCCTTTTCACACGTTCGTTTGTATGCGTGTATGTACAAAGTGTGTGTTGTTCAGCGGTTACCTTGAAAGTCGCACTATCTTTTCAACTTATCCAGTGTATGAAGCTGTTTCTTTTCATCAAATAACATGCAAATGACTTCCTAGTGCAAGCTCGAGTACTTGCGAGAAGCTATAGGGCTGAACGGATGTGACGTGGGCTCAACACCGGATGCGCCGCACAGAGCAAAAGAAAAATGGCGAATCTAGTGGAGGCGACAACAAATCAGCAGTTTGAAGATTTCTTAGCCAAAGCTGGGAAATGCCTGACTGTGGTGCATTTCCAGGCAGCATGGGCTCCTCAGTGTGGCCAAATGAACGACGTGATGGCCGAGTTGGCCAAGGAACACGCGCACACCACGTTTGTCAAGCTGGAGGCGGAGGCGGTGCCAGAGCTGTCGGAGAAGTATGAAATAAACTCGGTCCCCACTTTCCTTTTCTTCAAGGCAGGGGAGAAGGTGGACCGCATGGATGGAGCTCATGCTCCGGAGCTGACCAAGAAGGTGCAGCGCTTGGCAGTCGCCGGGAGTCCGGTTGGAGCCGCGGAGAGTAGCGCCACAGACATCAACCAGCGGCTGAAGAAGCTGATCAACGCGGCGCCATGCATGCTCTTTATGAAGGGGTCCTCGCAAGAGCCTCGCTGCGGCTTCAGCCGGCAGATAGTGGCCCTGCTGAAAGAGCACAGCGTCCAGTTCAGCAGTTTCGACATCCTGTCCGACGAGGAGGTCAGACGGGAGCTGAAGACCTACTCCAACTGGCCCACCTACCCTCAGCTGTATGCGAACGGGGAGCTGGTGGGAGGACTGGACATAGTGAAGGAGCTGGCTGAGTCCGGGGAGCTGGAGAACACCTGCCCGAAGGCCGTCACCTTGGAGCACCGGCTGAAGACCATCATCAACCAGAGCCCAGTCATGGTGTTCATGAAAGGCAACAAGGAGGCTGCAAAATGTGGCTTCAGCAGGCAGACGCTGGAGGTTTTGAACAGCACCGGGGTCGATTATGACACATTTGATATTCTGCAGGATGAAGAGGTGCGTCAGGGGCTCAAGACCTATTCTAACTGGCCAACCTACCCCCAGCTCTATGTGAAAGGAGATCTGATCGGAGGTTTGGACATTCTCAAGGAGCTGAAGGAGAGTGGAGACCTGGTGTCAGTGCTGAAGGGGGAGTCGTAGGTGGACCAGAGCCAACAAGAAGCCACTGCACATGCCCAGATCAACCCTGTATCACTGATGATTATACACATGCTGAGGAAGTGAATAAAAATAATTTATGGAGATAAATATTAGATTTAACAATCAATGGATGAATCATACTGTTGTAGCATTTGGATAAGTTCACATTCTACTTTAATTCAAAACATTAAACTGCATTTAATGAGATTTTCCTTTTGGTTTTTGAAGTTTTTCTCACAGTAATTCTTGAAAATACATCTTAAGAAATGTTTAAAGTGAAAGTTGAGCAATCCCTGTGCTTGGCCTGAGTTTATAAGTCCCTATCTGAACAGCTGACTTGAGTTCATATTGTCTGTTGTCTTTATTTGTTGGGGTTACTTTCTTCACCTGAGAGACAGAAAAACTGTGTTTAACTTCATCCAATAGTCACTCTGGTTTAAATACTAAGTCTATGTGCCACTTATTGATAGAGCTACATTGTCCGTCAACAACATTGTAATTAAACAATAAAAACACTTAAGATTTGATGTTGTTTTTGGTGCTACTTCCAAAGCTCACGTGTGAAAAATAATTTTGTAGAATCCATGGGAAAGCAAACAAATCCCATATTCAAAAACAGGGATACAACAAGTCCTTTAACCTAATATGTAAGAGGAAAGATTGTTTCTGTGACCGTACATTCAGCACATCCACAATTCCTAGCTGTTCAACTGCCATTCAATAACGGGTCAAATAAAGTGAACAGCCTCAAAAATAGCTTCATTCACAAAGGTAGTAATTCTTTGCACAGCATATTGTAGTGAATGTCAGGAGGGAAAAGGGGTTTTCTGCTCAACTAGTTTTAGTAGTAAATGTACATTTTAGTCTGCAGGACCTAGAAGTAGACTTATACATGGAGGAAAAGATTGCAACAGAAAAATGTATCTAATTATGATTTTACATTGCATCATATGAACACTGTAATGTGTTTTCTTGAGAACTGTATACAGGTTTAATGTGGGCAGACAAGCTTGTTGTGTGACACCACCTTGTGGAAGTATGCGTCGAATACATTTATAACCTGATCTCAGACTATAAGTTCACCCTCATGATAACGTGGTAGAGCTGAAATGGTTAGTCAATTAAAACAAAATGAATCAAATATTTTGATAATTATTTAAATATTTTTTAAGCAAAAATATACTAATTTCTGCAGGTTTCAGGTTGTCCTATGTCCTGTAATCGTGCGTGGGACTTCTTCTGCCAGGACAGAGCGAACTCAAACAAATAAGCAATGCACTGTTTGGTTAACTATTTCGAAAAGTGTACTTAAGGTTGCAGCATACTAGTTTACTTGCCAATAGTAAGAACTGTTCTATAATTAACTGTTGCTTTGTTGAAAGGATTTAAATGAAACCACCACCACCTACATATGATGATGACTCAGAAGGCCTCATGAAGAGGGTTTTTACGTGAGTTTCTCCTTTGAGCAGATTTTAGATCATGAGTAAAGCTTACTGTGTAAAAGAACGATTCGTTTGACTATAATTGTGTTAATCCTAAAGCCCCCCCATATTTAACCCATTACTCGCCTCACTGAGAGTTCAGGGGTATTGCAGCAGTACATGTTAATAATTTCCCTACACCCCCGTCTTTTAAAGTCACATGTTGGAACAAACAAATTCCTGTGCACAGGACCAACAGACATTCTCATCAGGTTCACTGTATTCAAGTATTTGCTCTGAGGTTTCAGTTATGTTGGATAAAGCGTTGTCATATTTTCTCTATTTATATGGTTTGTTGTATCAGGTCTTTGCTCCTTGTTTAGTTCCTGAGCTGTTGTCTGCCAACACTGTCGACCACCAGCAGGTGAGAAACTAAATGTTTAGATTTTCTGTTTGCAAAAGGCAAAAGGTACCCGTTTACCATAACTTATTATTACAGAGTGAAAAACATTTGATAATTTCTGTCACTTGCTATGACACATTTGTGATGCATTTAAGCTCATATTAATGTTAGTCTTAATAGTTAAGTGTGTCTTGTGAACAAGTAATGCACTGGCATTTCCCAGTAACCGCAGATACGGAGAGATTTATCGAGATAAAAACAAAACGTGGCCACACCGGCACGCTTTCCACCTCCTCCGTTCTTTCCATAAGTGGTCTATCTCTCAAGTTGTGGGCTTATATCTTAAAATAGGTTTTGTTCCTGTACCGTTGCTGCAGCCTCACACTGTCATGCCACCCCGCTGTGTCTCCGTGTCTTTTAGTATCTGGGGAAATGGTACTTTAAAGCAGCAGTCAGTCGCAGAGAGGCTGACATTCAGAAGTTCAAAGAACTGGACAACATGTGGTTCACCATTGAGGAGCCGGTCAATGACACACTGCTGCTGACTGGACATATGCGCATGTGAGGCAGCAAATATGCACGCACACACACCCACACACCCACAGACAAAGTCTAAACAAGAAGATGTTTCTTAACACACATCATGTGGTAATGAGGTTAAAGGACCACTCACGCAAACATCCTAATATTAATAAAAACATTGTGGTTTTGACATGACATTCATCGTGGCAATAACTGATCCGATATGCAAGTTTTAAATGAATTACATAGCAGTTGGTAATGAATCGAAACAGTAAAGTGTAAATGTGGGAAGTGGAAAAAAAAGAGGGAAGTGATGTTGAGAATGTGTAAACGGTGTGAATAAATGTTTTAAAAATGATAGTCTTGATGCCATGTTTATCTTATTGTGTCATAATATGATGAAATATAAAACTGCTTCATGCTAAATGTGTATTTATTTTCCAAACACTCTTTTTAGAGGAGATAACTGCATGAAACAGACCTGGACCTACAATATACGTCCTGAGAGGGATGATGTGGAACTGGAAGGTGACAAAAAACCACCTGCATTCACAAAAACCACCTGCATGCTCAACTCACATATGCACACAGAAGAGATTAATAGATGGGAATTTTGAGACAGTGTTAAAATAAATATAACAACTTCACCCCAAAACATTACAGGGATTCATTAATATTCCCAAATTCTATTCTTAGCAGGGTGGGAAAACCCCAGAGGGTTTATGTTAGAACATCTGTAAAGCTTACTGAAATTAGTTTTGGGTGGATTTTTCAGGTTTTCAGGCACCTGAATGAATTCAATTCATAAAAACTTCACATCAGTAGAGTTCAAAACTTGTCACGTTTAATTATTCTATGCTCACATTGTCTCATGTCAAACAAGTAGTGTCTCACAGACTGAAAACAAAGCTACAACTTAACCAAAGTTTATTTCCAAAATGTACAGTTTTTATCGTTATTGTGATCTCTACAGCACTTCCAGTACAAAAAAAGGAAATTCAACAAGTGTGTACCAAGAGGACAAAGAGGGAAAGTTCCTCTTTCAGCACAAATTACAACAAAAGGTTGTTTCCCATTTCCATTCTTTGTCCTCAACAAAGTGAACTGGCCACTGGCTGCAGCCTAATTTAACAAATAAACGATCGTCTCATTTAACTCGCTGCCAGAAAGCAAATTAGTGTATTTATTCATTGAAGACAGAGCCTCAATATCAGGGAAATAAAACAAGATTCACCTTTTTAATTCTTAATGTCAGTTGATGCTTTGCATTTATGGTGCATTCTCCAAAATATACTGAACAGCCAGTAAGCCTGGAACTGTCTGCTACACCCAGTTGGTAATCCAGCCTTGAGCAAGAGCACCACAGTATATTGATCAACTGATCAACTAAGATAACCTTGTAGCCTTTTGGGAGTCTACTGCAGAATGTTGACCTGTGTCACTCACACTGATCCCCATGTTGCTGCAATACTCATGTCTTGTTGTTTTGATGCAGGAAGACCGAAGCGGAGGACCCTGCTCTGGAGCGGCAAGTGGGCCAACTGCCCCGCGTGCATCATTTTCCAGGAAGTAGAACCACCTTTAAATGAGACAGACTCGGAGGACTCCCTCAGCAGATACCTGCTGTATGGTAAACCACCTTTTTCATCTTTGGATGAACTATTTCTTAAAATAACTACTACCTCCAGAAAGGTTAATTTAAACAAACAATTATGACTTGCGATTGTTGTAAATCAAATTGTCTACTGCATCAACACATGAAAACGTCTTGGCCTTTGACTGTAGGCCGGCAGAGTGACGTCGACTCTGAGCTGGTGAAAGCATTACAGAAAAACCTGGCTTGTCATGGCATGTCGGCATGTGTCAGACCACCTCAAGAGAAAGGTTTGTCGTTAAGATAAACAAAGAAAATAAAAGATGATGCTTTTGAATTTCAGTGTTTCTTGAATCTAACAATTGTATCTCCCTTTACAGAGTTTTGCACCTAAATATTAACATTGAGGTAGGCATGAATATCAGTTTACTTCCATTTGCATGGTTTTTCATATTTTACTTGGTCTGTCCTTGTCTCTTGATTCTACACATGTTTACAGGATGTTGCAGGAACCATGGAAATCCTCGATGACGATACAATGATTCCATGTTGTCAATGTGTAACATTGAAACAAATAAAGCAAAAATACAAACATGTTATTTTATTCACCTTTCACAATAGTCTTCAAACATCAAATTCCATCATAATTAAAGTGGTTCCAAAAACATGATGAAAAGCCATGCTGACAAGGGAAGCAAGCCGTGATTTTGTTTTTGATTGTTTGCTCATCCACTCATTATTCTTGCCACTTGTGGTCCTTAAAACCACAGGCAATATAGCTTGGGTTGAGAAAAGAAAATCACCTTTGTGGGAGAGGATCCACCCACAATCGCCCAGCAAAAACCCAGGGAATCCCCATGATGCTGTTCTTTGAACAGAAATTCCTGTTCACATAACTTGAATGAGGGCTGCATACCATATCGTCCTGCATGTATTAATAAGTAAACAAACCTCAGTCCCTTAGTAACACATATTTTTGAGATTGGACAGACAGGAGACTGGTGTAGCTATCACACTAAAAGAAAAAGTACGGGTGTTGCGCAGGTATAAATATGAACTGACTTTGTATTCCAAAAGTTGTAAAGAAAGCAAGAGAAGTACATATAATAAAGCCTTGGAGGGCGGAAGTGGATGAAGCCATGAAGTTAAAGAGTAACCGCCCCTCAGGGACACTCTAAGAAGTAAAGCGAAGACGCCCACAACGAGGCATTCGATTGGTCAAAACTACACCTGGTATTCAGGGGCGGTTATTGCACAAAATAAACACTGTAATGTCTTGATGTATGAGGACACATAATCAGAACTGTGAGTTATGTGGCACTAAGCAAAATGACATAATGTTCTTGCTGGGCAGAGTTGAAGTTTGACGTGATGACTAATGACCTAAAACTAAAGAACAACTTGGGTTTTTATATGCCGAGTCTTGGGGAAAACAGTTCTTTATTTCTGACCACATTGACTTTCAATTTGTGTCAAATCCTTATAGAATCAGAGCTTAGTTCAACCTCCATTCTTACACACTGACCTCTCGTAGCTGATGGGGAATTATGTGGAGACACGAGAAAAGCAGAACTCACACTTGTCTTTCCATCGGACAATTTAACTCACAATTAAAGTTCAGATGTACTGGAGACAACAAGTTTCTTCCCTTTGTTGGTTTGAGTGGGGACAGAACCTAACAGCCCACATCCAGTCCACCTGTCTGTCATGTTGAGTGTGTAGGTGCGCAAGTGTGTGTGTGTGTGTGTGTGTGTTCTTCACAGAGATGAGGAGGGAGAAAGTTGGTGACATTTACATAATCCCGAAGAACATAGACTGGTTAGTTGGGGATGTCCCATGAAGCATGAAACCAAAAACAGTAACATGAAATGGAAATTGACCCTCACACTCTCTACCTCACAATGTTTTCAAAACCTAAATGCAACTCTCACTTCTGGTTTAAGCTTTTTTAACCCCTTGATCTTTAAATCTACAACAAATGTTCATACTTCTTTCATAAAATATGTGGTAAATCCTGCAAATATTATTGCCTCATAGATTAGAAGAGACTTTCACAAATACCCATACCATTGATGTGCACTTTTCTTTATACAAACTAAGATCAAACCTCCAACTTTGTGCAATTTGTCCTTTACACTATTTAAATCTACTACACATGTGTTTAGCTGATATTGTTATTGAGTCTTTCATTGAGAAAATAGACTCTGAAGAGAAGCAGAATGAAGCAGCATACAGCAGCGTGTCAAAAGGGATGTCATGGCGTGCAGCACTCAAGTGTATTTCCTCATTACATCGGCTCAATTTCGATCAAATGCATTTTGAGAAGAAAAAGTCCCCGTCATAGTTGTTTGGGTGTGAAACTCTTGTCAGTGACCTATGAACGTGGGTAAACACAGAACACCCACAACAAACATTGATGCGTCAGTGGGGGCCGAGACCACAGACTTATTTCTTTATGTGTCACTAAAACACTGGATAGCTTCACATCTTATTCCACATACCGAAACTTCTTTATCATTTTTAAAAGAAATTTTACTTACATTTACTTTTTTTTATTCTCATATAAGGGGAATTGAAGCCGTCCATTTGTTTCCACATCAAAGTTGTACTATCTGAAACTAAACTTTGGTTTAATTAACCCAACAAAAGTTTCACACCAGTTGTTAACCCCCCCCCCACATACCACATATCATTGCCTCTCTCCTCCTCCTCTGTCTAACCAAACTCTTCATGTTCACTGCATTGCCCATTGAAAAGGGAAAACCCTGTCAACCCGACATGTCTCTCAAACAGGAGCAGCAGATGAATTTGGAGACTGACAGTGCAACACACACCAGGTGAGTCAAGATTTAGTGAGTGAATTTAGTTCCTCTCTTAAATGTGTGTCAAAATATTGTTTGTAAGTACAATAGTCTTTATGTCTTTATGATTATGGTTTTCAGTGCTCTACAGGTAAGATCATTGCTGTTGTTAAAAACTATACATGTGTGTACAGGAGAAGACATGTGTTCAAGGATGTTTTGGGGGTTTTTTCCAATGTATCGATCCAGGTCAGCCATAGTTTTAGTATTTCCGCAGTATTTTCCGCAGGGTCATAATAACAAGAGAAATAATTAGATGTTTTGGTACAATTTGAAATTTTGAGCATCAAATGCTCTCCATTCCCACAGTGGTCAGATGTCAAATGCAGCATTCATATTAAGAGAAAAACTAATTTAACAAGCCTTGTTTGAATATTGTTTGTATTCATTGACTGAGTAATTAACCTAATAGTGGTTAACCTTTATAGGACACTCAGTACAACAGAGGATGTGATGTAGAATCACACACTTGATGTTTTCAGTAACCACAGTTACATGAAAGATGCTGCTGTCCACTATGATGTAAAATACTCCTTTCAAATGAGCATTGATTGGTTCAATAGTTTTTTGTTTCCACTACAGAAGATATATGTTTTTCCAGTTTAGATTTTCACTTAACATTCATCAGAAAGATGCAAAAATAATAATTTTAGTACATTTGTCAGTTAACATAACGCAATGTTAACATACAATGAGAGATTAACTCGCAACTGGTCTTTTCACTGTCAAACATGCTGTACCTGAAATGATCATAGTGGAGTGGAATGTAAAGCGGAGCAACGTGCTTGTAGTATATAAAGTATGCAACTGGAAATCACCCGGAGACCATTGTAACATTCTTGTTTAAAGGTTTGGAGTTTGACGCCCACTTGATACACAATTCTGGGTCACTGGTATTTCAGCAGCCTCTGATGAGTTACAGTCGCTGTCATTACAAATAAAACTATACACTGACAGGCTACTCTGTGCAGGACCAAGAAAAACAATCAAGAGAAATACTCTCCAGAGGTTAAATCCAAGAGAAGCATGCAGCATGGTGGCTATGAGCTGAGGACACATTTACCCATGATGCAATGGGTGCAGTTAATCTGACACATGTGGCATTGTTGCTGTGTGTAGTCTGGTTATACTTTTCAGGTCAAAGTCTTACAGAAAAAGCTGATTTAAAACTTAGTGGTTGAAGTACAGTGCATCTTCTTTTTTACAACCTGTGTCGTATTGTATGAGTTTTGACCTTTATTGTTAAAGATTGCTAAAGCTTCTCTGGAAGAGCTACGCAAACAGTGAGGGTTTCATCAGTTTTACTGTCCACTTTCTAACTGTTTGACCACTTGTGGTTGTTGCCTTTGCATAAAAGCAATGATGTAAGATATAATCAGACCTTTGCTATTCTCAAGTAATACAATATCGCACTCAAATTTTCGTCAGCAAAATATACTCATAGTGTCAAAATAAAAGTACTTGCTCCAGAGTAAAATGGCCTTTGACATTATTAGATTGTTAATACTGATCAGTTTACTGTTGTAGCTGGTCATGGTGGAGCTAATTTTAACAACTTTATACATTTAGCTTGTTTAGTCCAGTGGGTCTCAACCTAGAGGGCGGGTCCCTCCAAAGTGTCACAAGATAAACCTAAAGGGTCATCAGATAATTAAAAGGAGAAGAAGAAAAGCAAAGTTCTCTTCTTTAATCTCCTACAAAGATTTGTACGTTTTTTCATGTAAAACATGAAGTACTTCAAAATGTATGTACTCAAAAACAGTACTTGAGTAAATGTAGTGTTACTTTCCACCTATGTACTCTGTTAGCTGCACCAGTTGGTGAGTAACATTTCTTCACTATTAGTCAAAACTACAAAATAAGAGCCAAGATGTAAAGAAAAATAGGACAGCCGTTGGTATGGCGCTAAGCTTCCAGGGAAGGAATTAAGATCACTACAATCTCCTCAAATATAACAAAAAAATGTATGTGTGTTTGTGTGTATTTGACAGAATGGAGGGTGAATCGAGGTCCTCTCACAAGTACCTGCTGCTGCAGGTGTGGTGTGGTATGCTCACTGTGGCCATGGTGGTTATGGCTGCACTTCTCATTTCAATCAAACCAAGATCCACTGAGGTCAGTACATCCGTCACAGGAGAAGAGAAAATTTAGTTTAGATTGATATTCACGGCTCAGGTGACCCGACAGTCAATACTGATGAAGTCAGAGCAGGTTAGACTACTCTGTTAGACTGCATAGTTTTTCTCATGTAGCTGATACATGAGCAGAATGTATTTTTGTAAATGAATGCCATCACATGTGAAGTCATGTCTCAGTTGTACAATTCCACTGAAAAACCATGAGTAATGTGTGATTAATATTGTTATTTTATCAAAAAAGAAGCGTGTTTTATGCCGTTACAAAGCACTTCCTGTCTGATCTCTGTCTCTATTTCAATAAGATTTGTTTCTACAAGTTAAGGCCAGACTCCCAGTAGGGGTGGATACAATAATAGAACACCTGTGCAATATAACGCAATTCATTACAAACATCATCATAAATTAAAACCACCCAAAGTACTAAAGACTTTGAATAAACACGTCTTTGACACTAAGTTGTATTTTCCACAAAGTAGGACACTGGCTTCCGTCATTTTTATTTTTGTCAGAAAAATTTAAAGATGACAAAAAAAGACACATTTCCCACCAAGTTTATGGAAAAGATGATATTTTGGAGACGCATGGTTTTCCCTCAC